ATATATTAGGCAATAATTTCTCAACTTTAAAGAGAGGATTGATTGTTGCACACACTGATGCAGCCTTAATGTGGAATACAATCACTAATTAGTTGAATTCTGGAAACAGTTTGCTGCAATGGATGTTATTTTCAAGTTTTAGATCATAGGGAATCTGTAGTGACTATTTGTACAAAACTAAAATTTAAAAAAAGGTGATCAAATCAAAAGGTGAATTTTACTCAAATAGTCATTCCTTAAAAGTTCAAAGAATATCCACTGGACTTGGTTTCCAAGATTTGAAATCTTGGGAAAAAATCTTGGATTTCAAATCTTGGAAACCAAGTCCAGTGGATATTCTTTGAACTTTTATGGAACGACTATGACTTGGATGACTGAGAATCTTCATCAACAACTCAAATATTCATCTGATGCACTCTGAATTCTGGCTTACAACCAAAAGACCAAAACAGGGTCAAAATCCAGTTCTGTGTTTGTTTTATTCTCCGTTTAGACAAAACAGGTTACAGGCTTCTCAGGCTTCTGCTACTGCGCTAACTCTGATTCCTGCACCCGTTCTTTGACTGATTGACTGACACCAAACGGGCTGACAGAGACTGAGATTCAGACTAGGACTAAGACCTCCTACTTGCATAATGAGCTACCTAAGACCTACCTATTTATACTGTGAAACACCCACATCCTGAGCTAAAATTTATTAACTAATTAAGTGAATCCCTAACCAAAAACATATTCTAAATAACAAATTAAACTAAAGAATCTAAATTCTAAGATTTAACTGAAAATGGAAAAATAGCTCCTATAGAATTATAGGAGAGTATGAATTCTCATCCTCAGGAGAGTATGAATTCTCATCCTTCTCAGAAAGCGCACATCCACATTAGATTGATCTTCATGCTGGTCTATCACTTTGTTTTCTGATAAAATACAATATAATATGTTGGCTCTATAGACACTTGTACAAGGAAATGTATCTGAAGCTATTGAAAAAAAAAACATAATAAAAACCTTCACCCACCAGGTGATTAACAGTAATCTATGAACAATTTTCAGCATTCCTTTTTTCTCAAGACTGAATGTGATGAATGAGCATTTAAGCAGCTCCTGTAGTCGATAAGTTGTCTGAATAACTGTTCAGGTAACTGGGCGTCGCTCATTGAAGTGATTCAAATGAAAAACTGCTCAATTAATGGAAAGCAGTGTAAAAGTGATTAATATTCAAAGAACTGTCCAACAGCCAGAGGGTGTTTGCACTGATAATAGTTTCCTTTTTATCTATTCAGAGCACACAGCAAGCTTTGAATATATCTCCCATCTGCTTTTTGCACTTATTTCATCTTATTTTCAGCTGATATTCAGTAAAAACAGAAAGCCAGATATCTGTTGTAACACCAGAGACAAAGAACTAATTGTTAGGTGCTGCATTTGTTTGTACAAACCTACCTTTATGATATCCATCTTGTCTTTGTCTTTGCGAATGCTGCAGAGGAGGTCCTCTTTCCTTGCGTTGTGGTTCTCCAAGCTCTCACTCAGCCTTTTCTGCACAGCGATATGCAAATAATGTTAAAGTGCATCTTAATTATTAGTTTATCTTAATTATTTTAAACATTTTAATTTAGCAGGACCAGAAATCTAGACCCTTATAGATGTTTATCAAAATCTATTGATATGCATGTATAATTTTGTTTAGCCCAATGAAACAGTGGGATGACTGACTACTAAGCCCAACTGCATTAAACTTGAAAAATAAAAATTCAATTAGCGGCTCCCCAGAAAATGAGAGTAAACCAACTGTGCATGTAAAAAAATAAACACTCAAGATATAAATAAAAAAAAAAAATAATCAAGGATTTTTTATTCACACCCCTTGACTTTTCCCACATTTTGTAATCTTAGATTCATATACTTAACCTAATTTTATTGTGAATTTATAAGATATCATCAATAAATAATTAATAATAAGGAAGTAGTGCTACAAGAAAACCACAGGAAAATCTAGCAAGAAAACAAAAACATTTCCAGCCAGATTGGATCAAAATTAAAGTTGTTAATCTACATGAAAAATGTTACATGTAATAGAAATTTTCAAATCCCCTTCTTGTCATCCAAGAGAGACAGTAATTTATTTACAAGAGTTTTTCCACAATCTTTTTACTGTTGGGATACTTACGGACCAAATCCTAACCCATTTAAATGTGTTCATATCTACAAACCCCTGCCAGTAGGAACATTCACTCGACCACCATGTTTTTTTCTCGCAAAACTGCCTTTATTGTTACAAAATGTCCTGGTGCAGAAAAAACTAAATAAATCAGGATTTGTTGAGGAGCATGGATGTAAAAATGTTCTAGTGGGTAAATGCGAACCCCGAGGACGGCAGTATACAACAAGCCCAACATAATTATGTATAATTTAACTAAACTCAGATCACAGATGATCTCCATCCATCCAATATGACTGAACTTCAGCTTTTCTTGAAAAGAAGAACAAGCAAAGAACGTATATAGGCAAGTTGTTTGGGATATGCCCCAAAAAGACAGTGAATAATAGTTATAAAGCTATAAATTGAAACAACAGGGCTACAAGTAATGATTAATTTGCAAATTGATTAATCTGTCGATTTTTTTTCCCCCCGATTAATAATCAGATAGCAAAGTGTTCCTTAAAAAACACGCTTTGCTAAATTAAACCAGGTGAAACTAAATCTTCTCCACTTACATTCATGTTTTTTCTTACAATTTTGGTATATACAACATAATGTAACACAAAAAAATTTTTTTGTTATAGCATCACCAAATTGGAAAAGAGCTAGAGGGTCCTGATTGCTTCTAAAAGCACTATAATATGTCAGCGAGGCCTTATACACTTATCCTTATGCTGAGTTTATGAAAGATCCCGGAATAGAAGGTAATATAAAAAGGGAGTGGGAAGAGGACTTTGGCTCAAACAAGTTAATAAAACACAGATGTGAACTGAAACATGGTGAACTGTGGTGTAATAAACTTTTACAGCTGAAATTGCTATCATTAGTAATTAACTGATTTACCTCGGAACACTTTATGATGTGTATAAGATATGAGACAGGGCAATGATTGAACATAAAATGAATGAAATACAGGCCTGATGATCGATATTAAAGGAAAAGTCTGGTCACATTCAGAATACAAACTTCTGAGAAGTACTTTAAATATTAAAGTATTACATACTGTTCAATGAATGTTAAGTGAAGTTAATCAAGAGTAATTTCATTTGAATGTGCTTTACTGGAGGCATCCATGTTTGTCAAAGAACACTACTGCCACCTACTGGTTTGTGACGTCACAGTGCGGTATCGGCTGTTGATCAAGTTCCAGTGCTGTATCTGGTGTTTGTCACAACACGCTATTATCCAAGTCATCTTGAAAACATTCTTCCTCCAAATGTTGGCTACATGTTATGTGTTTTTTCTCTGGTCAGAAGTTCGATGGAAAATCCTCCCTCTTCAAGTTGGCAATCCAATGAAGAACCCGTCCGTGGAGGATCAGGAATCGGAAAGGTGAAATAACACTTTTTTTTTATTTTCCACTTTTACCCGACTTATTCCAACATCCAGCTGCCACTCACGTGGGCATTGTCAGTTTAACTATAGCTCTCGCGAATTTTAATAGTGAAGTCCATTGGAAATCTAAAATTATTATTGTTGATTGCAGATATGTCTAGTAGTTCCCATTGATTTTGCTTGTAAAGCGGCAAGAATGGCGCTAGGCTTACCGCACCGTGAGGGAGGTGCTACTATATTTGGGCAAAAATGGCCGCTCCCGGACTCCATGATCATGACAAAAATGATTGTCTTCATTTTTTTTACTGATTAACACTAAATTCATTAAACCACCACAAACGTATTATTTTAGGTATAGATAATAATCCATTGATTATTCCTCGCTGACTGCACTTTTTCTTTAAAACACAAAAAAGGAGAAAAAAAAAGCAAAGAAGTCACCTCCAGATTCCGGATGTAGGTGTCTGAAGTGGAGGACCGAACCTTCTCCACCATGGCTGCCACCAGGTAGTTGGTCTGGAACTGCTTGGACCTGAACTCTTTGCGGCACTGCGGGCAGGTCACGGGGCCCGTAGTTCCCCTCCAGTACCGTGAGATGCACGCCTTGCAGAAGTGGTGCATGCAGGACAACATGACAGGCTCCCTGAACAGGTCGCAGCATATGGCGCATGTCAGGTCGTCCCTCAGGCTACTTTTGCTGAAGGATGGAGGAGGAGCAGTAGGAGCAGCAGCCATGTTGGAGGCGACTTGGCTTCTCCAAACTGGGGAAGTGAAAGCAAAAGATTAGAAGGAAGAGGAAACACAAGGTGCTGAGCTGGCTTATGTTATTTCAGGATTAATGTGAAGGCAAACTTAAGACAATGCATACAAGGGGAGTGGGGTTAGGGGATAGAGAATGGAATGGAATGGAATCCTGAGGTTCTGAGTTCGAGCCCCACTCTCACAAACTAACACCCTGGGTCCCTAAGCAAGACCCTTAACCTGCTCAGGGTTCTTTCTGCTTCCCAAGGGGATGGGTTAAATGCAGAGATACATTTCTCCAATGTGAGATCAATAAAGTTAAATTATTATCATTTTTATATTTAAAAAAAAGCTACAAATCCTGTAATGCACTGATGGTAAACATTATAAGTCAGTTAGATTAGGTGTAAAGAAAGTATTTCAAAGCGAAAGTAATCTGGGTGGTTAGAGCAGATTATAGAACCACGGATCATATGATCCTTTTAATAAAAGGTTTGTTTTGTTTGTTCAGACTGATAGCAAATGAAACCAAACAGCTGCACGCAAACACGTTAACTCACCAAAAACCTTATTAAATATTCTACAAAACAACGATATAAACGTAAAAAGTTAGAGTTGAACGAACTTACGCTCTCTGCTGCCAAGTACAAAGTATGTCCAAACACTTCAAAGTCCTTTCTTCTTCGCTTGATCTCCTCCGCTCTTCTTCCTGGTGCAGTTTGTTTCCAAACCACCAGTGATAACTGCGCATGCGCACGGTGTAACGCCACCTTTGATTGGTTAGTTCGTCTCGAAACCAGGAAGTAGTGCAAAATCACAGCAGAAACCTATTTTATGTTTATCATTCGCTTCTTTCAAATTAAATGTTTTGCAATAAAAGCAAATACATTTCCTGTTCATGTATGGACTGAAGGAAATTAAGAAGTAGATATCTTAGCTAAACAGGCTTTAATGTCAGACATTAGACTTAGATTTATTTTGTTTACACAAGTGTAAAACAAAAAGAAATTTTGTTTAGAACAGCTTTCTGGACAATTTATTTTCTTTTTTTTTAATGCAGCCTTGAAAAATAGTAAAAAAACAAAAAACATTACTATAAACATAAGCCTATATTTACAGTTCTAACATTTCAGGTTATATATATATAAATATATATATAATGATAAATAATAATAAATATAATAAAATACAATACAATAACCCATTTTACAAAACATTCAGTTGTCTAATGGCAGGGGGGAAGAAACTGTTATGGAATCTGCTGGACCTGCATCGGATGATTCGAAGCCTCTTCCCCAAAGGGCAGCAGGGGGAACAGTCCATGGTGGGGGTGTTAGGGGTCATTGATGATGTTACGGGCTCGGGACATGCAGCGCTGGGATGAAATGTCTTTTAGGAGCCCCGATGCTCCTCTTTGCTGTTCTCACCACTCTTCTCACCTTCTTCCAGTCTGAGGCGCTGCAGCCTCCACACCACACAGTGAAACAGCTGGTCAGAACGGCCTCTATAGTGCTTCTGTAGAAGGTGGTGAGGATGGGTGGGGGCAGGTGGGCTCTCCTCATGGCATCCTCAGTGGAGCGGTTGCGTCGGTAGGCAAACTGGAACGGGTCGAATGTTGGCAGCAGACTGGAGACGATGTGTTCTTTAACCAGCCTTTCGAAGCACTTCATCATGATTGGAGTCAGTGCGACAGGCCTGTGATCATTGAGTGAGTTGACCTAAGGCTTCTTTGGGACCGTTATAATGGTGGCAGACTTGAAGCATGCTGGTATTATGGATCGGTCCAGCAGGTGTAAAAAATGTCTGTGCGGACACCAGCCAGCTGATCTGCACACTCCTTATGCACCCGCCCAGGTATGTTATCAGGCCCTGGGGCCTTCCTTGAATTGATTCTCCTCAGAGTTTTCCTTACTTCGGCCTTCACTTTAGTGCCTCCTGCCCCTGGTGTGGAACAGCTTTTACTGCTGGAGTGCTGTTTAGTTCCTCAAACCTTCTAAAGAAGTTGTTCAGTTCATTTAGGAAGTCAGCATTTGCTCCATCTGCCGGGGGTGGGGGGTTATAGTCTGTGATCATCCGAATGCCTTTCCACATCCACCTGGTGTAGCTGTCATCATGGAAAAGATCCTGGATCTTCTGATATTATTTATGTATATTATTAACTTAAGTGTTCCTTTAGCAAAAAAAAAAAGGGTAAATCTATAATTCAGAATAAAATCTGTAAAGTTTGGCAGTAACATTGGGATAATCATGACACTGGTAGAGATCTATATAAAATTCAAAAGACTGTAGGGGGTAATAGTTGTAAAAATGGAAGGCGGAAAGAAGAGGAAGTCATATCTCGACTTAGAACTGGTCATACTGGACTTAATATTTCTCTTTTCAAAATAGGGAAACATGAAACAGGGACTTGCAATTGCTGTAATCAGATGGAAACAGTGGAACATGTGTTATTAGAATGTGATAAATAGTCACTGGAACGTCAGCGCTTAAAGCCAACACTAAATAGAGAAAAAATTGGATTTTCTATGATAAACCTTTTAGGAAGTAAATCTAATTCGGCTAGAAATCAGTTAATTCGATTTTTAAAAAACACTGGATTATTTAATCGGATTTAAAGTAAGAATATAAGTGTGTGTATGCATGTGCATATACACACATACTAATTTATATGTGAGTTTGTTTATTGATTGATAGATAATATGCAGATTTGTGCATACCATTGAGGTATGTATTAATAACTTTCCTCTGACATCATTGATGACCACACTCCAGTCTGGTAGGTGGCGGTAAATGCACCTTAAGTTGGTTGCCATCCGCCAATAAAAAAACATAATAAGGCGAAGACATCAAATACATGCTCTACGCTTAGAGCTAATTTATTTTCAATCTCTAGAGCTCCTTATGGTAGCCAACAGATGGGCAGTTATAAAATCAAGAAAGATTTAAAGATGTGCCTTTTAATCTAGATGCAAACTCAGAACAAAGGGAAAATTTTGTTTTAAAATGCTGAAATTATTGACCAATAATGTGTTTCTGTTTCTCCTAAATTAAAATTATGAAAATCTAAATTGTGTGTGTTCTTTTGCAGCATAGAAACAAACAACCTTTCTTTTGAGTGTATTTTGCTGTGCAGGGAAAATAAGTCTAACTTCAATATTTATTACTTTTTTGTCTAAATTTTCTTTGAACAGATCACAAAATCAACCCTAATTTGAATAATTTAAATTTCAAAATTTGGTTTAAAGAGTATTTTTATGTATTTATTTAATTATTAAAAAAACAAATTATGATATAGGCTTATATTAGCTACTACTTCTATATTTGCTACAAGGAAGTAGTTCATTATCAAAACTTGCTCATATCTACAGACACAATAAAAATCAATGTGACGAACAAGACTGGACAAGGAGCCTTGTTTATTTTTGTTTCTAGACATTCCCACAGTTAGATGTAAACATGAAGTCTGCTGGAATAAGAATAAGAACCTTTTTTTATCACATGAATGATTAATTTCCATTTATCCTCTGGCAATTTATTATTATTTGAGGTTGTCCAGGTCCAGGTTTTATATAAAATAGAAACCCTCATAGGACCATTGTCAATGTTTCAAGCTGGTTGGCTAGCTCATTAGGCTGATTGTACCGTCTTTCTTATGAAGTTCTGTTAATTTGGAATACATTTTCAAATTTTTTTTTGCACTTCTTCCTTTTGTCAAAGATTAGAAAATCCCTATGTTGAGTGATCATGCAGTCTTATAAAAGGTTCAATTTCGATAAGAGATTGCACCATGCAAAGTGGACTAAAGTGTAAAAAACACACCTAATTATTTTTTTTCTTGTATCCACCAAATGTATCATTCAGGCTTTCTCTTCACTGAAAGCAAGATGACCCCGGGGTTCTCCATGAAGCTGCAGGCCTTTCTGCAAAGATGTGGTAAATTCAATTGGTCAAAGACAGACGAGGAGAAAAATAGACACAATATCAGTTTGGCTTCTTGAAACGAGTCCTGGGGCATATAGCAGGGACTTCCCACACAAACATTTGCCTCAAGAATTCAATTTGCAAACTTTACAGACTATCAATCCCTCTGAATCAATATGTCCAATCACTTGTGACCTAAAGACTTTCATCTGTCTGGATTACAAGAGTGTTTAGCTACCACTGTAAATTTCATAAAAAAGAAGGAAAGCAAAGCTTAACTGCTGTAAAAATATAATAAATAACTGCCTTTTAGGTAAGAGAAACATGTGGAAATCACCTCTTATATGTAAACATGATCAGAATTTAGAGACGTACAACAAAACGTGCAATTCTAGTTGCTTGTATTTTATTTTCACATTTTGGTAACTCATTAAAATCTATGATGCACATATTATGTAGAAGACAAGGATAAATATAAAGTTATACACTGTTTTTTTTTTCACAGGTAAAATCTGAAAAGTGTGGCATGCATTTGTTTTCAGCCTCATTTACTTTTAGAATCACAATCTTATTTTTATCAGAGGAACAGATTTTGTGGCTAACATGCAGTTCTTTTCCCTGGCAAAAAAAAAAGAAAAAGGATGATTGCAGCGATCCATTGATCGAAGGTAATCCCTCACACCAAGCATGCTTTTAGCGACAGTGGAGAGGAAAACTCTTTAACAGGAAGAAACCTCCAGCAGAACAAGAAAAATTAGATCTTTTTTTTTTTTTTGGAGTTGGACTGTGGAACACTGCTTATTTAAAGTCATGGAAATCCTTTCTTAGTTTCAAAAAGGCAGAGCACATCATTATAATAAAAATATATTGTAAGTGAGGTATATATTCTTATATTATTACTAAAACGTTTATTGCATTTAAATGAAGTGCAGCTTAATTTTGTTGTAAGAACACAAGCCTTCATAGGACTTTTTCTCAGCCCAAACCTTTCAGCAACAATATTGTCTATGTCACACAAGTCGGTCTTCAGACTTGCAATCAGTCACATCGGCTAAAAAATTATAAAGACCCAAATCATTTTCACAAATATAGATACACCAACAAACACTGGGTTTAGCATTTATTCCACTGACTAACTTTATTAAATTTCTAAAATAAAGTGACTTAAATCATAACATAAATATCTATTTTTCATCCTTTTAAGTGATAAAACAAAGCAAAGGTTGACCATTGAAAAAAAGCGTATGAAGTTAAAGGGATGCAAAGGTTTTAACAAGTCAAAAGGTAAGCAATACATCGCATTTGATCAGAGCTGGGTAGGGTATCCAAAAATTGTACTAAGAGTCGCTCTATTTCATCATATTTTTACTTAAGTAAAAGTCAAAAGTATCCTTTAAAGAAATTACCTAAGAGTAAAAATGTGTTTGGTTTAAAAGTTATTCAAGTACAGAGTAACTGATCTACTTATGAACCATGGTCCTGATTTAATGCTTTACAAAATTATGTAAAATTGAAAAAAATACTAAGTGAAATGCAAATTCAAGTTTCAAAGAATGATGTAAAAATAAACATCTAAAATAGATTAATTACACAATAAAGAATTTAGATAGAATAAGCAACATTTATTTATTATTTATTTTTGTTATAAAACTTAAAACATCAATAGTTACTATATGTAAATTAGGTTAAATTATAGTGAACTCTTTACTGTATTTTCATTCCACCTCCAAATGACACAGCAGACTCAGCAGATGAAAATAACATATAACAAATAAGGGTAAAAAAAAGAAGAACGTATGTCTCTAAATGGTGCTTTTTTTTTTAAAGAATGTTTTCA